CTCCACTCACATTCTGCTTGAGTCAGATGTCAACACCTGGAAATGCTTTGACACAGAGAATGTGGTCTTCCTTTAAATACTGCTATTTTCCGCTCTGAGGAAAAATACTGCCAACATGCCCCACAGCAGGAAAGGCATTTTCTCTGCTCACCAGGGAGGCCAAGCACAGGTTACAATTCAAAATCTTCGCAGCACTTCAACACTCTCCAACAAACACAGAAGCTCTAGCACTCCTACTTGGAGTCATCCATCTTTCACCATCCGTGTTTTCTCCTGAGTATTGTTATTTTCTATGTATATTCATCTCTACCTTGCCCAGCCTAATTTTACATATTTCAAATACTGGTGTTCAGAGTGACATAAAATTAAGCTACTCATGCCCAGAAGTACTACCAGAACATCCAAATACCTGCTAAGAAGGAAGTGACAGATAAGATCATAAAGCAAAAGAAAGGCAGAAGAAAAACATGGGATTTCTTCACTGGCTTTGACTTCTGTGGTCTTCCTATTTATCAATCCATTTTCCATGGGCATCATTAGCATATTTCACCAAATAAAATTGCTTGTAAACATTAGCTTTTGCTTCAAGCACTCTGTACTGTTCTTTACAGTCTCACTGTGCAGTATCAACATACTAAGCCACACACATGGGGTTTGCCCATGTGGAAATACCAAAGGAAAACAGAACTGTATTCATGAAACTGCATTAAGTGGCCTCAGCTGGGATCGTTGAATTTATCTTAGAAACAAGTTACAAATCATTGAATCGAAGCCACTTGCATTCCAATACAGAGCATTCATAGATCATAAGGCAAATTTCAGACGTCTGACACACATACCTCTGTACAACTTAAATGATTCCTGAGCTTTCCTATCCAAAGAATATGCACACTGTCACGAGGAAAAGATTTGACTGTGTACATAGAGCAGATTCAAAACCTTAATATCTCCTACCTATGGGCACCTTATGATTTATAATAAATCAGTTTCCTGTTTCAAGAATATGGGTTAGGCTTTAAGGAATTGATTTGTTACAGACATTTTAATACAGTACAATATCATTAATTCTGAGACCAGTAAGAAAGGCCCTACCAAAACAAATCAGTCCAGCTGCACTACAATCAAAGAGATGTCAGTTCACCAACAGTCTCACTGCCTTTAAGAACTCAAAGAAACAGCTAACAAGTGTTTTCTCTTAAGGAGTCTTCTGTGATTCAGCTCCTGAGCAATGTGGGTCCCCTAATGGGGAATCTCTCTCCTCATTCATCCACTCTCAATTCATCTACAGGCATTAAAAAGGAAACATCACTAATTGCTGCTAAATATCCTTTCTGTTTTGCAGCAGTCACTCATACATTATGCATAGATCAAGAAATAAAACGGTTAAGGGAAAAAGTAAAATCTATCTCAAACTATGTGCTCTTCACGTGTTACAATTTAAATAGAAATTTGAAAGCAAGTATTGTCTGACTGATGTTCAGTTGTGACTACTCGAGCAGGCCTTCTCCTATATATCCTCTAAAACATTTTGGCTTCCTTGAGGAAGATTTGCTGTCTGCTAGTTATCCTACCAGAAACAACAGCATGCAAGCTTTCCAAACTCCTGCTGTAATTGCTCCTACAGACCAAGCCAAGAATGGCACATCAGAACCATGGTTGGGCTCATCCTCAACCACCAAACATCCCACCCCTCTGCCTTGCACCGCAAGGCAGAAGTGGCACTGCTTGGCTCAAGTGTAGAGGGTTAGACCTCTGGCTGCTTGGCCAGCTTGCTAGGGATCTAGGGCACTGCAAAGTCAGCCCCATTGCTCCCAGTCTCGGCCATCACCTCAGTGCCCACTCACACCGGTTGCGGGTGGGTAGGTGACAGGAGCATGGTGTGACAGCAGCCTCCAGCCTGGCCTCAGCTGGGTGGTTAAACTTCTGCTCCATGGGCCAAAGCACACCAGTATTAAAGGCTGCCCTAGGCAACCTTGTACAAACCTCGGGAGAGCACATTACCAAGATTCTGCTTAGTATTTCCTTCGCATAAATATTGTTGTATCCACAGGTAAAGAAACAGTACGACTGTTTTCGACTCGTGGAAAGTCAAAACCAGACTTCCATCATGGCACAAGAAAAATGCCCATCACCATGCAAGATTGCAGCCTTTCACACAGGCGAGCAGACCACTAGTAGCAGACCCCAGCGATGACCAACAGTTTAGATAGGATTCCAGACATATGTTTGGAAGCAGCTGATCCCAGCAAGGAGCAGGGAGTTGGACTCAATGATCCTTATGGGTCCCTTCCAACTTGAGATATTCTATATTTATTTCACAGTCCCTGATCCTGTAATTGATGGCAAATAAGCAAACTCCTCCAGTTGCAGAGAGGCTGAGTTTGTAGCAGTTCACAGAATAATCCAGGTTGGAAGGGGCCTCAGGAGGTCAGGGTTTGCTACATTCAGTTGGAGGATCTGGACTCAATTATACAGGTCCATATGAACTGAAAGAAGTAATTTGTCACAAGTTTGGAAGCTGACTAAAATAACAGACTATCGGCTAATGCCTTTCAGCCTTCTGCGGAACACCAGCCTGTAATCATGCTCCTATCCACTTTCAATAGATACGCTTCATTTGCAATTCCTTGTCAAATCCCATGACTTGCTTACACTGTGTAAGCAAGGTAAGTGTTCATCTTGCACATGGGATACAGAGCCATTTGCTTTAGGAGAACTCCAAATAGATGTCCATAGGAAGAACAACCTGCCAAAGGCACCAGTTAGCCATGCTGAACTTGAAGGAATGAATTTGCTAGTTGTGTTCTCCTATTCCCAGTTTAGAGTAGACTAGAGATATCACAGCCTTAAGAGACATAATCTTACAGAGGTAAAATACACAAAGTTACAGTGGTATTTTGATTGTATGCCCGGTTGACATCTCTTATTTCAGAAAGACTCACCTTGTTTCCTACAAGGACCTGTGTCCCACGGGTATTCTGAATACCCACACCTGGTCCCTCACCTAATTGTCAGTTTACCCAGAAAATCCCAGCAAAAATCTATCTTGTGTGCCTCTGAACTGCACAGGAATGCAAAAATACTAGGTTTTAGAATACCTTTATATGATTCAATTTTGATGTTAACATTTTTGAAATGGCTACTCATCCCTCACAAAACCAGTAAGAGAGATGCAGAGCAGTCAGTTAGGAGCCATAGATATTACTCAAGCTAGATGGCCATACTGAGAATCTCAGCCTAAAAATACGAGTATCAAGAGTCAAATGAATGGTTTCCCGTACCTGAAGAACAAAGCACCAGTTCAGAATAATGATGCTATTTATAGGGCTGTGGAATAATATGCATGTACATTATGGATGTTCCTTAATTTCACAGATGTGATTTTATTCTGTTACAGCCATCATGACTCATATTTAAGCTTTACAATATACAGAACAGAATGAAATGAAAGTCAGCAGAGATTTGCTTCATACTTTATAAGGATATATATATTAATATTGAGATAAAAATATTATGCATGGTCAATACTAAAGTAGGTAATTGCATATTACAGCAATGATGATCCTTATGACACCGAGTTTGAAGAGCTACAAAGAGAAAAGAATATTCTCAGCATAAAACTACGAAAAAGCTTTAGTCAAAACAAAGGGTATAGACTACCGCGGCCATGCCATACTCCTGTATCCCCCGGCAGTTCATTAGATACTCAATTTTGTAACTCTTCAACACAGCTTTTACAAAGGACCACAGCCACATCAAAAGTAACATTTTACTTGTAGCTGAATAAAAAAAAGGACTAAAAAGCCCCCCAGGAAAACTGCTTTGAAAGGGAACAAAACCACTTGCAAGATGTTTTCAAGACGAATCCACCACAGTGGAATGAATGCCTACCACAACATAGCAACCTTTTCTCCCTGCCTTCCCCCTGAACTAAAGTACCCATAGCATCTGTCAGAAAGGAATACGCTTCAATAACAGATAGAGAATAAAGAATTTAAGGATTCAATTTTAACAGCTCCTCTGGATGCTAGCTGGAAATAAGATACACCATAGAATTGCTTCATGCTAAATCCATGACACCCAGATTTTGTGCAAATACTAATATTCTTCATAATCCTATTCTTTTTCTAACACTTAAATCTTCATACAGAAAACAGCACAAAAAGAGGAATCTCAGGTTATTTTTGCCTCCAGACAACACTGTGCGCTTCAGAAAGCATCACTCCCACCAGCTATCTGGGGTCACTTTTCACCTAGCATAAGTGGAAAGAATAAAACTATAGTGTATCAGCAACAAAAAAAATGTAGTAATGCTTGGTATTGTGCAAATACTTAATGTTCACCTCAGTGCCGGAATAAAAATATCTACAGAGCGTTTTATAGGATGAGTTAGAGCAAATTTAACCTGAAGAGTTCAGCACAGTTTGGAGGCATTTTTGCGTTTGTGTCACTGTTTTAATGGAAGATAGAAACTCTCCAGCTAGATCTTGCCTTTAGATGCAATGTATCTAACCACTCAGTGGATTGTACATAAACCCTTCTGCTCTTCATCTGCAGATGATACCAATTGTGCCATTAAACCTGAGATTTGCTGTTTGACCTTTCAGCTCTAGTAGGTTGCTTTTCAATCCCGAGTTATTTGGAGGAATAGTTATCTTCCCATTCAACTGTACAGTAATCCAACAACTGCTGGCCCCCACTAGAGACTGACAAGTTCAGAATCTAGATCACGCTTTAAACCGATCCAAATTTGCTAAGACTTTTCAGAACAGTAAGGTTCCAAGTCCAATCCTACTCAAGTTCCCAAATCCTAGAAGTCACTCAAAATACAAGCTATAAATGGCAAACGTTTTCTTTGCTGTTCATTTGTTTAGCGTAACACAAATCATCCTGCATTCATACCACCAACAGACACAAAAGAAAACACTCCATCTGCCCCTCAGTTCAAGGAGGCCACTCATCCTTCACTTCTTCACCTGGAAAAGACTGTAAATGCAAACCTGTTTGGCCAACTGATCCTTCTTCACCAAGCCAGTGGCCGCAGCAATGTTCCCTGCTCCTTCCACTGTCTTCTGGGCCACCGCCGTCACTCCTGTCACCACGGCTCCCCCAACATTAGACACTTGCTCTTTGGTCTTCTCAGCCACTGAGGAGAAGCAGAAGATAAAAAAACACATTACGGCTCTGGGAGTTGTAAGTTTTTCAGAGAATTGTTATCTATCCCTGACAGCCCATCATCACGAAGAGCCGTAAGGTTGTTACACTTCGTGTACCCCAAGCAGCTCTTAAGAAATGAGACTATCCATCTGGTAACGCAGCAGAGGTAAAAACAAGCCTTATTGGTGGCTCAATTTCTTTCACGTGAAAGACATTTGACATTTTCATTCATGCCTAGCTGTACTGTAGGGGAGAAAAGTCATTACACTAAGGGCCTCTATTATGCCCCAAATCACTGTGTAAGGTATAATAATTGCATTCAATATATCCCAGTTTGGGAAGACATTCCAATTAGTCCACCAAACACTTGCTGCACATTACAGAGCATGGAAGACAAGATTTTTTACATCAGACTCCAAAGCCATTGATTTTTTTTTTAAATATACTCGATTAATAAGCTTTTACATTAGACTCCAAAGCCATTGATTTTTTTTAAATATACTCGATTAATAAGCAGAGCTACTGTTGTTCAACCAGAGCATTTCAAATACAACCTGTTATCTGATTCTGAGATTTTTGCCGCACTGCTGATGTGTCCACCTATAACATACTAATCTACAAAGACTGAATGCTAAAGCAAACTGGATTAATAGCCAACTTCCAAGCCCCAGGGAAACAACTCATTTAGCCTACATGCACATCAGCAGTTGCCACTCCACCTCTCAGAACATCACTGGGTTCTTTCTGCTCATTCATCCCCAAGGGCCCTTTCTGACAGCAGCTGGCACTACAGTGAAACCACGCTCAGCAGAGAGATGGGATGACTTCATGCCTGAAAGTTACACAGCCAGCTTTTTGGAAAAAACCACATTTACTTATCCAAACAAGGGACTGTTCTTCAAAAGCATCCAGCATATAGTTCTGTAATCCTATACTTTCCTCCAGCCCAAATCCCATCTGATCCATATAATGTATTAATAGCTCTGTTTGCAGCCTTTATGAGCACAGGATGGATTCTGCTCAGCAGGTAAGCCACCCTTTCAGAGACTTTTTTGGGAAGCACATACAAAGAGAAGACTTTCTATGCATAAATTAGATTTCTTTAATTCCTTACATAAAGAATATCAGCTGTCCATATCACTTGGCACACAGCATAGATTGTCATGACTGACATTAAACAACAACAATTAGGAAGAAAGCTATTAAGGTAAACAATGTGCCTAATATGTGATTTTTTTATTAAAGGCCCACATAACAAATATCTGCTGACTGAAAATGGAGGCAGGTTATTTAACACTCGTTCTAACTAAAAGTGAAAAGTTAGTAACTGACTGAGTATTATCTCTATCATGACCAAACCAGCAGCTTTCATGATAGAGCAGGACAACAACAGACCATACATTGTCTGAAACTAGAAACAGAAGAAGCCTGTTCCAAATATCTTGCAACCTGTACATGCTAGTAAGATACAAATTCATAAGAAACTTCACTGTATCCATGCAGTACTCTATTGACATGCTTTTTCTAAGAACAAAAAAATCAAAAGTGGGTTTTGCTGAAAAGCAAATGTTGCCCTCAGGGAAGGTTTGACATAATGCTAGCAAGTGCAGAAAGACATCTATTAAAATGTCCCATTTGATTATTACCAGTTACTGACTACAAAAAGCCCTGGATGCTACACATAACATTTATATAGGAAGTTTTTCACTAATTCTTGCAAACACATATCTTAAGGCATGTGTCCTAGTAACATGTTTTATCTTCCAAAAAATGTTAATAACTGATTGTGCACAGTCTGTCAGAAACAAACTGAGTAACATTATGAGACAGAAACTTCTTAACACCTTCATATTCTTTAAAATGTCAAGAAGAAATCACAAACAGAGCTATATTTTAAAAAAAGTAACACCTTGCAAAAATAAGTTTCAATTTCTTGGAGAATATAATTTTGAAAGAAAAAAAGAAAAAAGAGAGGTGTTCTGAGTAAGTTTCAGTATTGCCTTTTATTCTTCTTCTGCCTCATTCCTTTTCTGGGAGAGAAACCAACAGAAGAGATAAATCAGGGCCCCTTCTACATACACTTTCATATCTTAATTTTTTTGTATGGAAGAGACATACACTATTTTGAAAATTCCCTTTTCCAAAATATGCTGAATGGCAGAACATTGAAGAGACAAATTCAGCAGGCTTGATGCTGACAAAGGATCACACGCCCAGCTGCTCTTAAGTGGACTCCTCCCTTCTGATAAGAAGATGAAGCATGGTTGCACTGTGCTCATTGTCAATAGTCATAACGAGTTTCATTATCTCAAGATCTTGAAAAACCTGCACCTCAAAAGCAAAACATCAAGAGAGTGAAATCGAGGGCACTGCAGATGCTGCAGTATAGAACACCTAATTCCCGATGCCATTATTAAACACCCATTTCTCAGGCTATGTTGTCACGGCAGGGGA